ACAAGGGTTTAAGTGAATGAGCTCTTATTCTTTGGAAGAAGAGGGAGGAAGAGCTTTAAAAATCTTGTGCCTCTATGTTCTAAGAATTAGAAAGAAAGAAAAGAAACAAGAAAATGTATATAAAGGAATTATATTCTAGCCAACAAGAATCAGATTTTGAAATAATTGCCATATAAACTCATAAAATTTCTACTGCTATAGAATTTTGGTGGGTGGTTGAGGAATTTTTATATTATGAGTGCATGCATATTCAATTAGTAGAAAAACCCTTGCTTATATACAAAAGTAAATGGTTTAAATTGAAACTAATCTAAAAACTATTAGACTAATATGGCATTATACCTAAACCTCACATCATCCCTTCCTCATGGAAAGATAGATGGTAATTAAGGGTCTTTTATTGATGGGTTGGGATCTAGAGGAATATCAAAATGAAGGACCTGTGGATTCATATATGATGCAACTTGTTTATGATTATTTCATATAAAGTTTTTCACTTACTATATATGCACATTTTATAGAAGATTTGCATGTTGAATATTATGCCAAACTTTATAAACTTGCAGTCCAACTTGCAATAACACCCCTTCCACTGAACAAGGAACCCTTTAAATAAACTATATACTCTAAATTGGGAAAATGAACCAAACAATAATAAGAGTTGTAGCATTGTTGTTATTCCATTTATACACGACTCAAGTATTTAGTAAGCTTTGCTATTTAGTAAACCAATGGAAGAATTCTTGTTAAATATTACTCTTAAAACCTAGCATTAGTAACTTGTTGCAATTACAAAGGTAAACTCAATTCTATTGACAATATAAGAATATGACAAGTAATAGTTAATATTGTAAAGTGCCAATATAACTCTACACTCTATAATATACATATATCGAAGAGATAACAAATAACAATCCCAATCTAAATATTGAAAGTTCATGTACTTTATAATCATTCCTTACCAAACCAAACAAAAACTCATCAAAATATTATATATCCCTAGCCAATATGTTAAAGCATGAAATGCCTTAGTCATAAATGTAAAAACCATTGGCTAAGAGAATTCACTTTGGATAAAAATCTTAGAACACCATTTGATGGAGGAAATATTGTGGTGTACTTGGTTTTCACTTTGTATCTTATGGTGATTTACCATAAGATAACTATGAAGAAAATCCTAAACCCTCCATGTGCTATATATCACATGCCACGTGTTTAATAACAATGAAGTGGAACTTGAGTTTCAAAGCCTTGGGCCACTGAATGAAAGGATAAAGAAAAATTCCTAAGCATGGAGCCAAGGATCAAAGGAAGCAAAGCACAGAATAACTTTCAAATATATAACTTAGAAAGTAAAAGGATAGGAATATAGAGTGATATGGGAATAGTCCTAGAGCATTTAGCATCCCAATGCCAAAACTAACATGCAAAATGGAGCTAAATAGAATTTAACACAATTTTAGCATATTGGTGGTTTAATGTGAGGATATAAATACTCCATTAGTTAGGATGGTATAGAAGTTAAGTTTAGGCCAAATGCAGATGCAAAATAAAGATAAGGACGCAAATAGAAGCTAAATTATGCCTTATTTGACTTACCCATTATCCCTATTATATATTTGGAAAGCCCCTTCCCCCCACCATTGCCCGAGGAACACACACTTTGGGCTTTCACAAAATTTACTAAATATGAAATGGTCTTAGATTACAAATCTAGAAGTAGAAACAACATTGTTATGTTTAGGACAATCTTTACATTTGATAGATATGCCTAACTAGCAAATCTAGACACTTTCTATAAATAGCCAATAGGACTAAAATGAAACCAATATAAAGTGCATGATAGTGATAGTATCTTGGCAGATATAATAAACTATCACCTATTGAGTATTGAGGGACTAAACTCAATATTATGGGGGTTCTTGTCAAGTCAGTGCAAGATAAAGCAAAAAAATACTAACAAACTGGGCCAAGTATACTTAGCTAAATAGACACTTAGGAATTCCTATCCAACCAAGTATATATGCTAAGTCAAATTTATTAACATTTAAATAAAAGGAACTGATAAAGGGTCTAGCAATACTGACCTCCTGCTGTCATGGCAGTAAAGAAAAAATATCTGAAAGGACTTGTTGACAAATAACTTTCGATACCTACAATTATAACACCTAAATGTGTACCCACTTAAATCATTATTTTCATCTTTGCATATGCAATAAGACTAGTTGCCTAATCTCATTGGATAATACTTGCTGAGACGTATCTTCTGATACAAAATGTAACACACCCTATTTCTCTCATTTTAAGCTAACTAAAAAAGAGGCAATTGTTTGATAAAAGAGCCTTTAGTGATTATTTTATTCCCAATTATCCTTCAATGTTCCAAGGATCCATGGTAATAATATATTCAAATCTCATCCCATAATCATATGTGTTACAAGTATCCACTAGAAGGTATAAACACACTAGCAAGAGCACTAACCCAATGAGTCAAATAGTTAAAATCAATAATGACGTACTCATTGCCAACAGTAAACCATGGAAAAACCCCATCAAATCAAATACCACCAGCTCAAATGAGTAACAATTAACTTTAATTATCTGTAAGCGACTAAATTTTTCATTCTATTTTAGTCATTTAACCACACTTTCAACCATTTAAAGGAACAACCCTTTATAAATCTTATTCCTAACTTAGGGATATGTTAGCCCCATAAATGGTATATATGCCACTTAACCTTTGCACTTAGTAGTGTTTCACTTGTCTAATCCTATAACTGACACTCCAAAGGTACCACTTACATATTAGCATATTATGCTAAAGCCATGTTCATTCATCTTCATCTCATTGATAGTCCAAGACCACTTATACCACCGACCCATCTATCAAAGACTGAGCCATTCATTCATGAGTGGTTATCCCTTGACCACACTTTAATACCCTTAGGATGCCTGAAAACATGGGGAACACCTTTCCCCAATATCCTTCAATTGGTCCTCACCAAGTCCCACTCCATCCACAGTAGTACTTGCTAACACCACCACTGAGTCAGAGCCTAAAAGCCCAATTATTAAATCCAATTGACCAATGGGATGTGAGACACAAAGCCCTAAGCCCCAAAGTGGAGCCGAAAGGGCACCACATGGTGGTGGCCGAAGCGAAAGCCAAACGAGTGTAACACGTTTGAACTAAAAGCTCCGACTTGAAATGTCAAAAGCGGGATTAGAACTCCCAACGAAGTGCTTGAGGAACAAGCACGAAGCGAGCAATAAGTGAGTCTCTAGAAAAGGGACATAGGAGAACTAACACATGACACATGGAAGTGTCTAAAATGGAGTCTGAGATGGACCCAAGATGGATTCCAAGATGGACCCGAGATGGATCCAAGATGGACCCAAGATGGAGTCTAAGATGGACCCGAGATGAAGTTCAAGATGGATTTGAAATGGACCCAAGATGGAGTCCAAGATGGACCCGAGATGGAATCCGAGATGGAGTCTGAGATGGACCTAAGATGAAGTCCGAGATGGAGTCCAAGATGGAGTCCAAGATGGACTCAAGATGGAGTCCAAGGTGGACCCGAGATGGAGTCCAAAAAGGAGAAGGAGAAGGAGAAAGACAAGGACAAGGCGCCAGGGACGAGCGATATCATGCACAGGCTAAGAGGCTGGCTGCCGTTGTTCATCGGCAGGAGGGGTGTCTGCGACCTGGCATCTGTTTGCAAGGAATTCGAAGCCGAGTGTAAGCTGAAGCTCGAGGCCAGCGAGCTGGGCTTCTCTAGTACGAGTATGTTGTTAGAGCAGTTCTCAGATATCGTCAGGCTCGAGCATCTCCAGTCGGGAGATATAGTGCTCACTTCCGCGACAAAGAAAGCCTCCTCGACGGCCTCGAGAGAGAGGGAAAGCCTGGCACAGGCTCCTGTGGAGGCAGCAGCAGCAGCGAGGCAGCAGCCATCACCAAAGGGTGCTGCTGTCGACTTCCCAGCCAAGATGAGAGCCGACTGCAAAGCTTTGCTGCTCGAGAGCATCCCGAGCTGCAAGTCCGGCTATCCTCTGGCGAGGCTCAAGGGGGACTTCCAGCAGCACTACGGCTACGCACTGGATCACGCGGGGTGTGGCTTCAAGAAGCTGGAAACTTTCCTGGAGCAGCTCAAAGACTCTATAGGCATCTGGACGGGATCGGGCGGCCACAAGCTTCTCCACTTGAAGGAGCCGGAAGATAGCAACGTCGAGGAGAAGATCAAGGGCGAGGACAACGTCAAGAACAGGGTGAAGGAGAGGGTGGAGGAGCTTGACGAGGTTGCGACGACTCTGGAACCGGAGGAAGAAGAGAAGGAGAAAGAAAAGGCGATGGTGGATCCGAAGAAGCGGAAAAAAGCTAGCGAGGCTAGCGTCTTGGAAACGGGGAAAGCCCAGGCTCCCGCGAGCAATGCCAAGCCGCAAGGAGTGAGCAAGAGTAGCAGCAGTGGCAAGCTCAAGATGGGGGGCGGCAAGCTAAGCGCGCAGCTCCCGGCTTGTTTGAGGCACTCTTTCGCAGAGAAGGTGGCGGAGAGTAGCCTCGCTTTCAAGCCCTCCAATCCATTATCCATGGTGGATTGATTGATCCATTCATTACCACGCTATGACTCTTGCGTGGTAAAGCTCGTTGTCAACGTGTGGACTAACGCTATCAGTCAACGCTATCTCATTACTGTTCTAATGAGCTCGTTCAACTGAAGTGATTGATCTGATGCTACGATTTCTGTTTACTTTTTACTGTTTGGACTAACGTTGACTACAGGTCAACGCATCTACTGAGCTAATCTACTCGATCGTGTCATTTGATCTGCTATTTATTACCTTCGTTGTGAACGTGTGGTCTAATGATCTCTGTTTACTTTTCGTTGTGACTGTTTGGACTAAGTGAGATAATCTACTCAACCCTGTTCTAATAAGCATTTGATCTGCTATTATGTGAACGTGTGGACTAACGCTGACTACTCAGTCTACGATAACAAATGTTGTAAAATCGTTTCGAAAGTTTAAATTTTTTAAAAACAGGAACAAGAAAATTCTAACCAATTCAATGTCTCTCTGTTGTCTTCGTGAAGAGCTGTTGTCTCGTTGCCTTGTTTGAGATTTGCAAATCATAATTTCCTAATTCAATGTCTCTCTGCTGTCTTAATGAAGAGCAGTTATCTCGTTGCCTTGTTTGAGACTTGCAATATTATCTCCCAATTCAATGTCTCTCTGTTGTCTTAATGAAGAGCAGTTGTCTCATTGCCTTCTCCTAATTCAAATGTCTCCAGACTTCTCCATCTGTTATAATTTTGATTGAATACCACGGACCTGCCTTTGCCTGTTGCGGTTTAAAAAAACCGAAGTAATTTGTTTCATGAATCTTCATTCTATGCCTGCAACCTCAAGCGTATCATCAGTCCAAAACGACCGAAAAGCGTACCTCCTTTCGCTCTAAGCTCCGTCGAGCTCAAGCTTAACCTCCGAGGTGGAAGGCTAGTTCAAGCAGAAGTTATACTTTAACTCGAGGCATGGAGACTGTTTACCTTGGCATCTGAGTCGTGTACACGAGCAGCCAAATGCGAACCTCCAGAATTGGCCGAGTGATTTGCCTCAACCACGGGCTTCTCAACCACGGGCTTCTCCAGATTCTCCACCTCACGGATCCTAAAAGTGCTCCATTAGTCACTTGTTCTATCTCTCAAGCATGAAGACTTACCAGTGGGAGTGCTTGTTGCCGGGCCTCCTCATCCCAAACTCGATGATCCTTTGCATGTGCTTCTCCATCTCAGCTCGCTTCTCCGCTGCTGCTGCGAGCCGAACAACGAAAGCATCTCCAGGATCGAACACAGTGCCACGACGAGACACTGGATCCACAGCCTGTTCCTGGGCTCTTCGATCATTGCCGCTCCGACGAGCAGCACTCGACAAGAATGGATCCTCTGGGAGAGAAGCTCTTGGCACCTTCTTGCGCTCGTCGACTCCGTGGATCGCTGCTGGTGGATCTCGTCCCAATGGCGGCGTCAGGCGGTCGTCAACCGAATCAGTAGCAGCACCATAGATTGGATTCATCTTGAGAAAAGCCGAAGGTGGCAGTCGCCTTGGAGGCCTCGCGAGTGGAGGACTGGCCACCTTTGTGCTGGCATTCAGCTGCGACGGTCGAAGCTGCTGCTTGCTCCTCTCTTGAACGAAAGAATCGAGCTTGTCCCGGAGCTCTGCATCCTCAATCTTGCTCAAGGGAACGAGATGCTCTCGCTGACTGCTGCTGCTGCTGCCACTGCCAGGAAGATGGCTGCTCCCGACGTAGCGCACCAGGATGTCATTCGCCTTCTTTCTTCTTCCCTTCACGAGTATCCAGATGCCAGTGACGATGGCCACCATAGCAAGCAGGAAAAGGACGATGCCTGCCGCAAGCAGCCCCGGTGTCGCAAACGCTGCCGCTGCTGCTGCTGCTGTTGATGATGACGACCCCAGAGGCGGAGCAATAGACAAGGGGCCAGGCGGAGGCGGCGATGAAAACGTGTGAAAGACAGGCGACCCTGGTTGCCATGTTATCGTGTCATGAGCGGGCCTTGGCCACCAAGTGGTTGTCCCAGGCCCTGTATGCTCCTTTGCTGGTGGAGGTGGCGGCGGCCCAAACCTCCTTGGTCGCCAAGTGATTGTCCCGGAAGAAGGTGGTGGCCCTGTATGCTGCTTTGCTGGTGGAGGTGGGTGCTGCTTTGCTCCTCCTCCTCCGTGGCTGTGCTGCTTTGATCCATGGCTTGTTGGTGGAGGTGGCGGACTGTGCTGGTGCTGCTTTGCTGCTTCGTGGCCTACTGGTGGAGGTGGCGGACTGTGCTGGTGCTGCTTTGCTGCTCCGTGGCTTGCTGGTGGAGGTGGCGGACTGTGCTGGTGCTGCTTTGCTGCTCCGTGGCCTGCTGGTGGAGGTGGGGGACTGTGCTGGTGCTGCTTTGCTGCTCCGTGGCCTGCTGGTGGAGGTGGGGGACTGTGCTGGTGCTGCTTTGCTGCTCCGTGGCCTGCTGGTGGAGGTGGGGGACTGTGCTGGTGCTGCTTTGCTGCTCCGTGGCTTGCTGGTGGAGGTGGCGGACTGTGCTGGTGCTTCTTTGCTGCTCCGTGGCTTGTTGGTGGCGGACTGTGCTGGTGCTGCTTTGCTGCTCCGTGGCCTGGTGGTGGAGGTGGCGGACTGTGCTGGTGCTGCTTTGCTGCTCCGTGGCTTGCTGGTGGAGGTGGCGGACTGTGCTGGTGCTGCTTGGCTGCTCCGTGGCCTGGTGGTGGAGGTGGCGGACTGTGCTGGTGCTGCTTGGCTGCTCCGTGGCTTGCTGGTGGAGGTGGCGGACTGTGCTGGTGCTGCTTTGCTGCTCCGTGGCCTGGTGGTGGAGGTGGCGGACTGTGCTGGTGCTGCTTGGCTGCTCCGTGGCTTGCTGGTGGAGGTGGCGGACTGTGCTGGTGCTGCTTTGCTGCTCCATGGCTTGTTGGTGGAGATGGTGGTGCTCCATGGCTGTCCTGCTTTGGAGGTGGTGCTCCTCCGTGGCTGTGTTGCTTTGCTGCTCCATGGTGTTGCTCTGCCGGTGCTGGTGAAGGTGCCTGACTGTGGGCGCTGCTGTGAGGTGGCGGAGCTCCTCTCGCCCTCCTTGGAGATGGTTTTGGCGGCGGCATGCTCCTACCTGGTGGTGGCGCTCTCGTTTTGGGCGGCGTCACGCTCCTGTGCCCCGGACGAGGCGGATGCACGCTCCTGTGCGCAGCTGGAGGCGGCGCCCGATGAGGCGGAGATGACGGCGGCACACTCCGACGGATGATGCTAGCCATATTTCTTGCTTACCGGAGAGAAGAAAATCTCGCTAGAAACCTTTTTTTTTAGGTCATGAAGCTTTAGTGCCTATAAATACCTGGTCTAGATTCTCGTACGGACGCAGGATTCTATGAGATCTTAGATTTACTCCCGTTTGCAGCAATATCATGATTTTAAGCGGAAGACATGATCAGCTAAAAAAAATATATTTCTCATGAGGGAGATCTCCGCTGAAAAGTTTATGATGGCAACCCATTTGCCAGAGGCTCAGTTTTTGCGATCCTTGTAATGACACGGAACACTGTTCAGGAATTCCCAATTTCCATTAGCACATAAATTCTAACCGGGAAATGGGAAAGGTGAGTGAGCGTTGCGACGACGATATTGGTAAGCAAGCTCTCAGGCTCAATTCTAGGAAGAGCAAAGATGAGAATGTGGCAGCTCCTTCACCATGATGCAATTGCTTCGTGCATAAGAATTTGATAAAAATCTTCAATCTGGAAGCTCACGTTCTTTGAGAATTCTTTTCTTTGCGTTTTAGGCATCAAAGACACTGAGCTGATCGTGTATGGCAAGTTTGTGATTGTCTCTTCTCCTTTTTTATTTGCTATGGTGATTGGATGTTATGCCAGACTTTAGATATTGTATTGATAGAGATCACCATAAAAGCTGAGTCCGTTTCTACTTATAGGAGAGGCCTCTTGTAGAATTTATGGAAACTGGATCTCAACACAACTGTGTGGGAGCAGCTTCAACTAAAAGCTCCCCACATAGATTGGTAAGCATTGCTCTTCCAAAAGACTGTAATCTCTAATCATTTTCTCTTTCTTGACACAGGGTCTTTATAAGTTTATCCTGTTTGGTGAATTTTATGATGCTGAGGGTTGTTTCAGAGATGGAAATGTTTAGTATAACATAAGTACTTCAATTATCTATGCATGTTGATTCTGCCTTTTCTTGAGATGCTCAATTGAGACCAACATTACAATTGTCTATGGGGTTAAAGTATGATAACATGTACCAAAGAAATGGAAAACCCCCTCAATAATCACTCATTTTTTGAACTTGATAACAATTAGGAATTAAATGAAATTTTTTATTGCAAAAACTATTTTTACTTTAATAAATATATCCAAAAGTGGTTGTTTTAAGTTCTACAAGGATTATATTTTAACCCTATATGGAGAAGCTAGCTACAATAAAACACACTGATGTAAGTGCCACTTGGTTGCAAACTTTGTTCTTTGATTGTGGTTTTTTTCCTTATCACAATTGATGCAACATTGATCCTTAGAGCACACTGAATACAATTTTATCTAGCTAGCATAGCTATGCTTCAGCACTTGTGGTTTTCTTCCTGATCCTTAGAGCACACTACATACAACTTTATCTAGTTAGTATAGCTATTGTTCAGTAGTCTAGGTGGCTTGTTAGTGAAGGTGGTGATTGTGGGAAAAATGCATAATACAACACCCCCTTCTCTTATGTGGTTGCCCTTTTGCCACACTCACTCCTTGCTTCTTCTGTGGCGTGCTTAGTCAGCCCAGCTCTGCACCCTACATGTTTAATGACTAACTCTAAATTAGTAACGTTAAACTTTTAATTAGTAGATGTTGTTAATGGATATGTTAACGACTATAATTTTATATTTTAATCTTTCTCTTTAGTATTATGGCTAGATTGGAATATATAGATCATGCTCAAGATAGTATTCTTTCTCTTTCTGATCTTATTGAGAGAACTAATAGTAAAGAAAATTCTTTTACTTTTTGTATTGCGGTTGATTTTCTTCCACAAGAGAGAGAATGTGAAAGATGCCATTGACCAATGAGATATCGATTTGATAATCGAGGTTGTAAAGATGGTTTAAAGTAGAATTGTAAAAATTGCAATACCATAAGATCTCTTAAAACTAATACATGGTTTGCAAATAGTAATCTTACATTTGCTTAAATGCTTAAAGTGATGTATTGTTGGTGCATTAAAATGCCACAAGATCAAGCTTGTATTGAGTGTAGTATTAAAAGTGAGCACACGACAATAAATTGGTACAACTTTTGTCATGATATTTGTGTTATCACATTACAACGAGGTAGTCAAAAGATTGGTGGTCCAAGAAGAATTGTGGAAATTGATGAAAGTAAGTTTGGTAAACAAAAATATAATCATGATAGAAAAGTAGAAGGTTAATGGGTCTTTGGAGGAATTGAACGTGATTTAGATCAAATATTAGGTGGCCAATTATATTGCGATAAACTGATATATTATATACATATGTTGCTCATTATACAATCAACCACTCCCAGAATTTTGTTGATTCCATGACTAGAGTTCTACAAATCATATTGAATCAACATGGAATGCAGTGAAAAGATCCCTTCCTCACTATGGTATAACAAAAGGATTATACATCTCTTACTTTCAAGAATATATTTGGTGAAAAATATATATTGAAAGAAAGGAAGCTGCATTTAATATTCTATGCAGTTATAATAAGCTATACAATCAAGATAATGAGAATAAATAATATATTTGATTTGTACTTTTAAATACTTAAAAATAATTGAAAATAATATACTAGAACAATCTTTAGTTTATAGTAATGAGGTGGCATGCCCATGTAAGCAATGAGGTGGCATGCAAATCCAAATAAGCAAATGAGGCCCACCCTATATAAAGGGTGTATTATACATTCTACTTGTGATTGCTCCATGGCTGTGCTTCTTTGCTCCTCCACTCCATAGTGTTACTTTGCTAGTGGTGCATGACTGTGGGTGTTGCTGTGAGGTGGTAGAGCTCCTCTCACCCTCCTTGGCAATGGTTTGGGTGGGTGGCACTTTTGTTTTGGGCAATTGCACTCTTGTGCCCTGGATATGGACTCTTATATGCAGCTGGGGGCGGCACCCAACAAGGTAGAGACAACAATGGCACACTCTAATGCAGCCATTAGGGCATGTGGGTTTATTGCCTATAAATACCCCTAGCTAGACGTGTTTATTTATTTTGTAATGGGCTTAGACACTAGTTTGACTACAAAAACCTAATAGATCTTCAAAGATCATTCCTAAAACCATCTTGGATCCCTTGAGAGCTTCCTTTGCCTTACTGTTGAGTGTTGCTAAGGGGAGAGGGGGACAGAGAAAGAGAGAGAGAGAAAGATTATGGTCATTGTAGTGCCTACTGAGATATTGGACCTTTTTTATTATGTACTGCAGTATTGACAATGACTGGATTTGGTGTTAATGATGAGTCATTGGCCTTGGTGACAAGGAGATCAGCCTTGAAGTCCAGCTTTAGCTACTACTTGTCATAGACTAAGAATGTGCCCCTCTATTCTTTCAGGCATTGAAGGAAGTACGTAGGGCTGCTTTGAGCTGTTTTCATTGAGAGAAAGTCCCAAGCAAGGAGGTTATGAAGCTGAATCAGGGAAGAGTAGTATATATTAGATATCAAAAGATCACTCTCTAACGTCTTCAACTTGATTTATTGACAGATTGGGCAGTGCCATTCTTCCTGAAGGGTGGGTGGATGTTGCCATGCACCAATGATATTGAAGATTGTGCATCTTTATGTGATACCTCTTAGTGTGTGTTGAGCTTAACCATTAGTGGCAGCATAGAAAACATTTACGCTTTTGTGAAGTTTTTATGGTGAACAATGCCTTTATTACCACCTCATTGCAAACCCATGACAATAGCATAGATCCTTCTCCACAAAGAAGTGTTTATGCATTTGAGCTTCATTTTTGTAGTGTGACTGTTATGCATGAGGGTTTAGGTCTAGGTCATAAGTGAATTTTTATCTTTCAAATACAAATTTCTAAGCATGAAGTTGGAATATGGAGTGATTGATTCTTTGCACCACACAAGGGCCTAAGTGAGTGAACTCTTATTCTTTGGAAGAGGAGGGAGGAAGAGCTCTAAAATCTTGTGCCTCTATGTTCTAGGAATTAGAAAGAGAGAAAAGAAACAAAAAAATGGATGTAAAGGAATTATATTCTAGCCAACAAGAATCAGATATTGAAATAATTGCCGTATGAATTTATAAAATTTCTACTCCTATAGAATTTTGGTGGGTGCTTGAGGAATTTTTATATTGTGAGTACATACATATTCAACTAGTAGAAAAACCCTTGGTTATATACAAAAGTAAATGGTTTGAATTGAAACTAATCTAACAACTATTAGACTAATATGGCATTATACCTAAACTTTACATCATCCCTTCCTCATGGAAAAATAGATGGCAATTAAGGGTTTTTTATTAATGGGTTGGGATCTAGAGGAATATCAAAATGAGGCACCTATGGATTCATATGTGATGCAACTTGTTTATGATCCTTTCGTATAAAGTTTTTCACTTACTATACATGCACATTTTATGGAGGATTTGCATGTTGAATATTATGCAGACTTTATAAACTTGCAATCCAACTTGTAACAACACCCCTTCCACTGAACAAGGAACCTCTTAGATAAACCATGTACTATAAACTGGGAAAATGAACTAGATAATAATAAATGTTGTAGCACTTTTATTATCCCATTTATACACAGCTCAAGTATTTAGTAAACTCTACTTGAACCAATGGAAGAATTTTTGTTAAATATTACTCCTAAAACCTAGCATTAGCATTTTGTTGCAATAGCAAAGGTAAACTCAATTCTGTTGACAATATAGGAATATGAACATGTAATAGTTAATATAGTAAAGTACTAATAGAACTTTACACTCCTATAATATACACATACTGAGGAGATGTAGCACACATGGTTTTTACCCTTTATCCTATGGTGATTTATCATAGGATAACCACGAAGGAGAATGTAGACCCTCTATGTGCCATGTGTCACATACCATATGCCACATGCCATGTGTCTAAGGATAGTGGTGTGAAACCCGAGTTTCAAAGCCTTGGGCTATTGAATGAAGGTACGGAGCTAAACTCCTAAGCATAGAGCCAAGGAGTGATGAAACTAGATCACAAAGTAACTCTCGGAGCATATAGCCCAAGGGA